AATTTGGGGTCTAAAGTATTCCCAATCTTTACTTATTGAATGATACAATAAATCATTCAATAGTAGGTGAAGTAAAGCTAGACTTCTCTCTGGAAGCACTAGTAATGAAGCTGAAGTTTAAATCTTTTGGAGACATAATGCAAAAGTAAGAGTTGTTAGAGAAAACTGATGTTTGGAGAAATTAAAGGCAATTAGAAAAAAAAGGCCAACACAAACAAGGTGGCTATATGCCATCGCTGAAGACAGAAGCATAAGCTTGCGAAAACTCAAGCAGTTGCTGATAAGCAATCTTTGCAAAATAATGTCCATTGGATCAAGATGTTTTCTATTCAGTTCGTTGTGCAAGACAACCGAACAACTAAGTGACCATGTGGATTGTTGCAGCCCAGATCTAGTAGCCTTAGGTCAATTAAAAACATGAGGGAGGAATGACTGTTGTAGTTTTTCCCAGTCTGGTACCCTCCTTATATGTTAAGATTGCAGTTCCTAGTATTTCCAGATAGCCTCCCAACACATCTGGAAACTACCAAGTTGATTTACTGCCATTGTATGGTGCTTAGGTGACCAGTAGAGCTCTTACGTTAATTCATTCCTATGAATTTCAGCTGAACTTGATTCCATGTTGTATGCTTACAATAGTAATGTTAATTTTACACTAGCTTTTAGGTAATTTAAGTATATGCTTATTTGTTTTTATACATATAAACAATTCTGTATTAACTATTGCTTTACATGCTTTTATTTCAGTGAAGAAGAGACCCATGAATGTCCAGATTACCTATCTGCTGGCCCCAATTCCTGTTACTTTAATCAAAGAGTCATCAGGCTTTGGCAAACGTACAACATCAGTGTAAAAGCTACCAATGATGCAGGAAGTAATATGTCTGATCCTCATTATGTGGATGTAAAAGAAATGGGTAAGCACAGAAGCCAAATGAAACTCAATCTTTTATTTTGCTCTAAACTTAGAAAGAGAGAAGATGGCATAATATTTCAACATCATTATTTTCTCAAAGCTAATCTCATTGTACGTGGAGGAGGCCAGCAGTATTTGTCATCGATTCTGTTGAAAATCAGGAAGGAAAAGAATGTTGGACTGAAATGATTTCATCCACAAGATCTGTGGCTCATTTTAAAGAATAGGTTTCATGGGTTTGAAGACCCCGATTTGATTCTTGATATCTTAGTTAAAAGAGTTGTCAGATAACCAGATTCTTAAGATGAAATGCTGGAAAGATGGGTAATACTGATTTAGGTTTTTCTCATTATGCACCTTATATCTTTTGGTTTGATACTATAGGAGCCTGGTGTCCTCAGATAGGTTGGACTACAATTTCCAGACATTGGGAAAGGCTGACATGCAGAATTATAAAAGGAGGAATTCTTGACAAGAGCAGTAAAAATACTGATATCTGAATTTTCTTTTGCATAGTTAAGCCAAACTCTCCCATGAACCTCTCTCTGGAAGTCAAAATGATGAATGGAACAATGTATGTATGGTCAAAATGGTCACCACCTCCATGGGTCAATGATTCAGCATTATGTAATTATGAATTACGACTAAAGTCTGCAGAAGGAAAAGAATGGGAGGTAAGAAAATTGCATACTTTTGCTAGTGATGTTAGCAAAAAAATAGAAAGGCCAGCTGTCATCATTTCCTCAATTCAGACACCATGCTTAAACCACAGAAAAGTTTGCTTTCGGCTTAGGCTCTTTACATATATTTACATTCAAACAAGAAGAATGAGGTAGGAAGGACCGGGCTACAGCACACGGGCAGAATACATAATTGGCTTGCAAAAGGAGTCCAACATCTCAGGAGAGTGAAATCAGGGAGCAGAGTGCATATCTGAAAGCTTGGAGATCCACACTAGTCAATAGACAGGCAATACTGGCTAGGTGGACAAATCATCTGGGTTGCTGTAAGTCAGCCTTCCAGGAGCTGACCTTCATCACTGACTTCAGAGGACTAATAGGTTTTAGTGTGGTCTGACTCTTGTAGAATAAAGGGGACAGAATCTCAGTGAAACATGGATCTCATTCTTTTCCAGGACACAATGCAGTTGGAGAGGGCCATAGCTCAGGAAGAGAGCACAGTATTGCATGAAAACAGTCCAATCTTTCTATGTAGGATTAGGGTACAGTAGGGTGGTCTTTGGCTTGTTACTTATGTGAAATGATCTATTGCTGAGGGTTGTTGCAGTTAGGCCAAGGACTATGTACAGTTAACTCAAGGCTACATGCAGTCCTAGCACTGTAATCCCTCACCCCCTGCCACCCCTTGTCAAAAACAGCCATAAGCAGTGGCAGAACCCAAGGGGTGTTTCCCTCCCCCAGAAAATCTCAATTCTTCTCCTGTTTAAAAAGATCCAATTTTCCATTTGCCAGGGGTTAGATGGTAGTCATTACTATAAGGGTAGAATTTACCTACTAGGTGAAAACCTATACACAGGTAGATTTCCTAAGCGTAGGTTGATGCTTAAGAGAAATGAAAAAGGACTACATAAAACTTACTGTGTGGGTGAATATGTTTTATTACAGGAATGGCTATAGAATGTGAGGCCAGCTTCTTCTGTATCTTTCATGTAACAGTTTCCATGGAGGAACCATTTAAATTAGTGAACAACTCATGTGGTATCATCATGTTAATAAGAAGGAAGCAAGCCCCTTAGATGAAGAATAAATAAATGAAAAATGTTTCTGAGAATTCCAAGTGAATAGACATTTCTGCAAATAAATACCAGAAGGAGTATTAAACTAAGAAACATTTTCTTGAACAAGGATGAAAAAAGGAATCATTCAGTGAGAGCTGTGAGATGGATACAGATGTTCATCCCAGAAACAGTACTGGGTGGTCATCAGAAAATAGTTCACAGTTGTTTTTCTCCTTCCTAACATAGCACTCTCTTTACAAGAGAGAAGATACTAATAGAAGAGAATATGTGTAACTCAGGGTTGAACTGTGGAGTCCTTGGGGTTCTCTGAGCTTGGTTGTTTTCTTGGAAATGTTTTGTTACCTGGCTAGGTAACATCTTCAGGGCTAGCAAAATGAAACGTTTGCAAGAAAACAACCAAGCTCAGAGAACCCCAAGGACTCCAGAGAGAAGATGGCTAGGTCTGGATGCTTGCTGGGGCCAAGTTCCGAAATATGGCACTCATATGGCCTTATTGCATTGCTTGCCTATTTATTCTTGAACCCAATTTTGAGGTCTGTTTCCATTTCAGTATTAAACTGTTTTATTGGACTTGCAGTGCTGGGTAATTTTATAATCTTCTTGATTTTAATTGATCTTGTCATTGTTTAAAATATGTATTTTAACGATGACTGTTGTTGCCATAAAAGTATGTTTTAACTATGACTGTTACTGGAAAGGTTTTGTCCTGAGCATTTATTTATGATACGAGAGGGAGAGAGATTCAAAATGGGTCTGTGCCATTGGTGGCGTCACACCAAACAAAACCTGCAATTGATTATATGATTCTTGTTATGAGCCTTTTTTCTTTCCTGAGTGCCTGGAATGGCCAAAGCGAAGAGGCATGTGAAGCCCTTGCGTAAATCATAGGCTGTCTGATTATCTGTCTAGCTGACGTTTTTGTATGCACGGTCTTGGAAATATTCATGTTATACATTTATTTGTAAGAATCTGTTTACTGTGATCCTGAAAGTTTAGGATACTTAGAGCTATAGATGATCCTTTCCCAATGTTGTCTTCTTCATACATTCTGGATTAAAACTCTACACGCTGCCAGGTAACAAGGTTATTGGCCATGCTAGAAGGAGATCTCAGATTTATAATCCAATACATTTGAAGGTCAACCTAGACTAGATAATACAGATTCAAATATGCCATATATTTGATCTACTGATGTGACTTGGATTTCATCTTTTTAAAACATGGAGATGCCACCATTTTCATCATTTCCATTGCTGTTATCCCTTTGCAGAATTATTTTGTGGGAGAGCATATGCAGCATAAAATATCTCAATGGCACCCAGGAATTAAATACACTGCTCAAGTTCGCTGTATAACAAAACATGGCAAAAGGAGTGCGTGGAGCCCAGAAAGTTACATCCATCTCCGTAGTGGTGAGTCAGTCTCTTGAAACTTGGAAAGTCAGAGAGTCGATATCTGACAAAAATGCGGAGCTGAAAAATTGCAGAACTAATATTTAAGGATAGACTTATATGTTACATGCAAGTATATAATAAAAGCTACTGATTTGTGTAGGCCAAACAGTTGGCATATAAGCAGCTGAGCAATAAGTTTGCTTGCAAGTTTTCTGTAGCATCTTTCCCAAACTTCTCATCTGCGTCCGAACCTCTAGGGATTCAAGACATGTTTATTTTGTTAAAAAGGAGCGTCAGAAGAGGCTTGAAGCTTATTTTGAAACGATTGCAAAAGAGACTCTAATAAAAAGTTCTTCCACAGTTCTAAAAAGTACAAACAAAACCAACGTAATATTGACATAGTTGAAATGCAAATTTAAAGAAGGCAGCAACATCCTCTTTTTAAAAAATGAAGTCTTGCTCAAATGAAGGAAGAAGACATAAAAGAATGTGAACTGACAAATGAATCTAAATTGACAACAAGGCAAGAGTAGAAAAATATGAAGATCATACTGTTAAAAATATAAAGATAGGTAATAAAATGGGAGTCGGTCAAATAGCAAGAAACTAGCCGGGATGGTAGTTGGAGTACCTGGCAATAAGACAGAAATTATAACTAAAATAAGTTGTGAAGACTGCAGAGGAGCAACATTCATTCCTTACATTAATCTTTTCTGGGTAAAGTGTCAGAGAGTCAACGACAACTAATGTTTGTAAACTGCCCAATAGCTGAAGTTCTCCATATACGAGGCTGCCACCTTCTCCTTAAACTTCACTGATCCTTACCAGAAGGTAGGTCAGATTCGAAGACTAGCACTGACCCAAGGCATCGTTATTCTGGTGCCAACATGGGGCACACTGATTGAATAAATGGACTATTTTCTTACAGGCCTGCCCCCAGGGAAACCAGTCTTCATAGGATGCCGCTCTCCTGAAAAAGAAACCTTCACTTGCTGGTGGAAGCCCAGCTCTGAGGGAAGTTTGCCAAGAAACTATACGCTGCTCTATAACAGAGAAAGGTAAAAGTTATAAATCATCCTCAGAATGGATTATTATATAATTTTGCATCTCTAGAGACGCTGGCTCTTAGCTTTCTCCAAAGGACAACTTACTAATTTGTAAACAATAGCAATAACTTCAGCAGTCTGATTTGTTTCCCTTTTTCTACTTGTGTTTTTCAGAGATAAGAAATACTATGAATGCCCAGACTACACAACAGCGGGGCCCAATTCCTGTTACTTTGATAAAAAGCATACATCACTTTGGATGACATATAATTTTACTTTAAAGGCAATGAATGAGATGGGGAGTAGTGTGGCGGACCCTTATTATGTGGATGTAGCTAATATAGGTATGCAGAACAAATTCTTCTGAACAGAAAAGATGGCAGAATGTTCAAAAGATTCTAAGAATTTACCTGCATCTTACTGTATGTAGTATCAACCACCCTCCATGAATGGCAGTGAAGGTAGCTTTATTAAGCATCTAATAGACTAAAATAAGTGATTTTAAGATGACATCCAGCTTGGTGAGTCACATTGTGCAAGCAGCAGATTTTCTGTATAAAAGAAAACCTGGACTTGCCCAGGTGTGTTTTAAGAAAAACGTGGAATAGCAATCACTGAACGGGTGTTCTTCAAACTTGGCAACTTGAAGATGTGTGGACTTCAATTTCCAGAGTCCCCCAGCCAGCACTTCTGGGAGTTGAAGTCCACACATCTTCACGTTGCCAAGTTTGAAAAACATTGCACTAAACACAGAGCTCTGTTTCTTCATGAATCCAGTCTTTTTCCAAACATACAATATTGGGGAAATTGCATTCATTCCACTTCTCACAACAATAGCCTTCACTTCTGGCAGACAGCTCTTTTTCTGTTCTCTTTGCTAGCCAAGGTCCTCCATAATCTGTCCCCACCCTCCTGCTCGCTCTGCTTTGGCATTCGAAAAAGAAATAGTCTCATCCAGTCACAAAAGATCTACTTCCTTGCTGCCTCCCAGCAACTCTTTCTCATCAGCAACCATCTTGCAGAACTGCCTGCCCAACACAACGGAAGGGAATGACACCATGAGGCACATACATTCAGTACTGGATTGATTGATTGATTTTTAAAAAACACTACTGCTATCTACTTTCAAAGAACAGAGCCTGCTCTCACACAAAGAATTCTAGCCTTAAATATCCGTATGGCCAGTTGTCCCTGCGTGTCCACCACAGCCCAAACTTTCTGGCATCTGTTTCTAAAGGAAACCTGTCCTTATTTTGTTAATCCGGGAGGGTAATTGTGAGTGGCAAAGTTTGAAACTTTCGTTACTGTGTGTAGGTGTGCAATGCAATTCTATCAGTTCTTATTTCTGAAGCAGTTCTCAGAGCAAGAGGAGTTTAGGCCTGGAGCCAAATGTATTCATATGGGGAATCTGGGGGCAGGCTGCTCACAGGAAAGGTGGAGTCACTATCTGGGTTCCTCCTTCCCATCCTGGAAATTCAGCTCTGATGCCAGGGCACCAGATCCTCAAATGCCTGGGCCCAGAGGGTAGTATTTCCTCTCAGAAACATGCCCAACTATGAGTGGGGCATCAGTGAGAGGTGAGGACGGGGATAGTCATTGTAATGTGGGAAGCCTTAACAGATGCTGTTCAGATATCTGGATATGACACCCTGTGGTTAAAGTTGGCTTCTAGGGAGCAGTTAGGTTTGTAGCTATTCTACCAACCTCCCTACAGCGGTGATTCTGCCTGAGCTGCTTGAACCCATCACCAGTTTGGCAATGGAGTCTTCAAAGCTGATGTTCTTGGAGGCTTAAATCTGCCCTTGTTTGGCATAGAGTCTAGAGAAGTTCTTGGCCACCAAGGTAACTATGGACCTGGCCCAAGTCACTGAGGATCTGACACACACAGGTGGTTATATACAGTATTAGATCTAGGTTTTATTTCAGGGCAATTGTGATACAATCTGAAGGTAGAGGACATTACCAGCAGTCTTTTGTCATGATCAGATTATTCTCTTTTAATTCTGGACAATTTCTGTTCAGTCTTCCCATTTGGGGAAAGATTGTCAAGAAGTGGTCAGGTTGCAGCTTCAGAGGGCCCTAGAAGAAACAGATTATCTGGACAGGCTTCAGGCCAGGACATAATATGGAGACAGTATTGATTGCACTTGTTGATGACCTCTGATAGAGCTGGGATGGAAGTAGTGGAACTGTTCTGGTTCTCCTTGACCTCTCAGTGGTTTTCAGTACCATTGATCATGGTATCCTTCAGGATCAGCTACAGGAATTGAGAGGAGGAGGCACATTGTTGCAGTGATTTTCACTCTTTCTATGGCTGGATCTGGTTGGTGTTGATGCAGGGAGAAGCCAGTCTGAAGCCCCTTGTTTGTAGGGTGCCTCAAGGCTTATCACTCTCACCCATCCTATTTATCCTCTACATGAAGCCTTGGAGTGAGGTCATCCTTAACATGGAATCAGGTATCACTAGTATGCAGATGACACTCATTTGTATATCTTGAGCCCTGATTGACCAAGTGATGCTGTCAAGGTCTCGCCCAATGTGTTGAGGTTTTGTGTGTCAATGGGGAGAAAGTTCAACCTTGGCAAGACCAAATGGCTATTGATTTATGATTTTTCTGGTGTTGGGGATTTTCCATCTTTCATTATGAATGGGGTTGCACTTCCTCAGACAGAACTTACACACAATTTGGGGGTCTTCCTGGACTGAAATCTCCTGCTAATAGAGCAAGTAGCAGCTGTGGCCAGGAAGGCCTTTGCACGGATTTGTCTGGTGCACCAGTTGTGCCCTTTCCTGGACTAGAAGTCCCTTCTCGCAATCACTCATGCCTTAGTTACCACATATATGGACTATTGCAATGCACTGTACACGGGGCTGCCCTTGACAGCTGGTCCAGAATGCAGCAGCACAAGCCGTTATGGGCATGCCATTGGTAAACTGATGTAACACCTCTACTATGGGAACTACACTGGTGAGTTTCAAGGTGCAATTCAAGGTGCTGATTGTCACCTATAAAGCCCTTCATGGCATAGTGTCTAGTTATCTGAGGGACTCCCTTTTTCCCATTGTTTCTTCCCAACCTATAAGATCCAACAGAGTAGGTGCACTTTGTGTCCCATTTATGAAGCAATGCCATCTGATGGGATGTAAGAAGCATGCCTTTTCTGTTGTGATATTTATTCTCTGGAACAGCATTCCCCCCTGCCCCCAAGAGGTTTGAACTGCTCCTAACCTAGCATTTTTTAAATGAGACTTGAAGACTTGGCTTTTTCTCCAAGCTCTGGGATAGGTAGTGTGTCCACCTGGATTGTATTATGTCAGGTCTGTTTATGGTGAATATCTATTCTCCCTGTTCATCTTTTAGTTTGTTTGTGTAAGATACGGTGGATGTGTTTTCAATTTGTGCACCGCCCAGAGTTGTTGAGTCAGGTGGCCTTAGAAAACTAAATTATAAATAAATGTAAATACAAGTAAACTCTATAACCTCCTTCTTGAGATGCAGCTCGGCCATATGTATTGGCTGTGTGTTTATTGAGACCAACTCATTCTGGCTCATCAATCTGTTGCTGGCATTTCTTTATCTTCTCACTTCTTTCTTTTGGAGAATCCTTCATCCCACAAACTGGAGTTAAGTTGTAACAGTAACAAGAAGTGACAGAGAAGTGAAGTCCCTGCTCTTGGGGAAAGAGGATGTGATCATGAGGCAGTTCCTTCTCAAAAAGCCCCCTTTGTAATACTTAACAATGGGATAGAAGAGAGGAAGACCCAAGTCTTATTGTCCAAGGGATGCCTCCATTTTCATCCATGAAAGTAAATCTCTGATCCTTCATTTTTCAGTTCAGCCAAACCCTCCAGAAAATCTCTCCCTAGCATTTGAGAAAAAAGTATATGGAGAATATCTGTTGCTGAATTGGAATCCACCTTCCCTGGGTGATGTCAAATCTGGTTGGCTAACTCTGGAGTATGAGTTACGCATAAAGCCTGAAGAAGGACAAGAGTGGGAAGTAAGATTTTTCATTCTTGGTGGCCAAATGTTCTGCATGTCTTTTATGTCACCGAAAAATATGGTCAATATAACAAATAATATTTGCCACATTTTATGCTGTATATTGAATAATGTAATATATTCCATTACATAATATAATGTAAACCATAATAAAGAAATATGTCTTGAGAAATTTGGGATTTAGCAAGCACTTAAAATACTTCCTTATTTATTAATATGTTTGTATGTATAATTCAAATAAAGCTTTTGTAGCAGTTCATAGCATACCCTAAAGTGGTACCTTCTGGTGCATGCATAAGGATGTTTTTACTGTGAGGTTTTCCAGTCTCATTCACAAAATACAGGCAGTCCTTACATAACAATAGTAATTGGGATGGGAATTTCTGTCACTAAGTGATGCATTCGTAAAGCACAACATCACATGGCTGCACCACTTAGCGACAGCAGTTCCGGCACTTCCAGTTGCCATTGTTAAGCAAATCACGCTGTTGTTAAGTACAATGTCACACGGTCACCGTTTGTGATCTGCCCATTAACTTCGCTTGTCAGAAGCTGGCAGTAAAGGTTGTAAATAGCAATCACATGACCACAGGGATTCTGTGACCATTGTAAGTATAAGGACCGGTCGTAATTACCACTTGTTCAGCTCCATCATAAGTTTGAATGGTCACTAACCGAGTGGTCTTTAAGCGAGAACCACCTGTATATCCAAAGCTCTTTCTGGCCTTCAAGTAGCATGTAAGTACCATATTCCCAGAAATGGGCAGGAATGGTAAGAAATTGCTAAGACCAAAACCTAATTTTGATTTGGTTTAAATTAAATGTAATATTAATTAAAATTTAATAATTCAACTCATTTAATATTATATATATATATATATATATACACACACACACACACACACACACACACACACACATACTCTACTTGTCACTCTTAAGTAATTGCTATTACGTTAGT